AAAGCAAAAAGAAACAGAATGTGACCCCTAAACACTGACCTTCGGGCAAGGCAAGAAGACTCGTGTGGTCAGCCTTTAGAACCAGTACTCTAGGTTTAAAGCAACCAAAGCCGCCCCGCGTGATTTGCGATTAATCGATCGATTTGTTATTTAATCCTATGGAATAGGATCGATAAACGGGGTGTTCGCAACGAACACCTTATTAATCGATTCCGCAGCACAGCTTCAAATGCGGAAATATCGATATAATCGATCACTAGTGCCGCCGCGGATCCACGCAACTTTTCTGGAAAAAAGCCTTTGCGCCTCGCGAGATAAGAGATTCCCTTGATCGCCGGACATAATGGACATCGAGCAAAAACAACCTAAGAGAGGGGCCGAAGGGAGCCTAGCATGGATGCCGAAGAGTTGAGAAAAACATCACCAATAGATACAGTCTCATCTATTTGAGCGGCCAATCAGGCAAACGAGGTGACCATGACGAGCATAGATGCCAAACGGTAGTGGAAAAACACTTGTCTGGTTTTTAATTAATATGAAATACTGCCGTGCTAAGGAAAAACACCGTAAGAGTATACGAATGTTGCCAAAATTTCCCCGATAATATGTCTATTTTTGAAAAAGTCAGGAATATTTTCCCAGAAAATATCAAAATACCTCGCGTTAAATTTCGGATGAAATCCTCTAAACATTCACGAGAAAAATTGCATCCATTCTCCGGAAAATTCGCAATTCAAGCCAGGAGATTTGGCAATTCGCGAATGTTCATACGACGTTTTCTGTTAGCGCGACAAAATATTAAAGTTTTCCTCGGCGTTTGGCAACCTTGGTACTTATCAGTGGTGTCAAAAGGGGGCGACTATACTACTCTTCAGTTATAATCTAGAGTGAAGATCGTTGATTTTATTGAAGACATTGGCAACGCTGTGCGGATACAACGATCAAAAGTGTCAACTGGAGTGGCGAAATGAGGCTTATTTTTACACTTGAACGCAAGCGTTTACTGCGTTATAATGAGAGAATAATGCTACACTTGTCGAGGTATAAGGCATCAATTAAGAGCACAAGCAGTTGAGCTAAATGGCTGCGTTAAAACCGTGCTTGGAATTGATAATAAGTCTAAGTCGACTGTGTGGAGATTATACTTTCAAAGCGGCTGTCGGAGCATGCTCGGTTATTGAGAGAAAAATCTATACTTGATTCTTTCGTGGGTGTAGAGAACGCACATCGGTTTTTACAGAATCAGTCGGCTGCACGCTTGAGAATCTTTTGAAAGAGATACAGCAACTACACAGCATCTACAGCTTTTCTAAGTGCACCTTGCATGGATAAAATCGCACCAGAGTGGCGTTGTGCATATCGATTATATCCCGAGTTCAATTCCTAATCTGCCGTGAGAAAGAAGAACGCCGTATGAACATTCGAGAGTTGCCAAATTGCCTCCGATAAAATGCATATTTTTGAGGCAAGTTATGAGTATTATTCCTTGAAATTTTCAGACTTTTTCGATCAAATTGCGAGCAAAATCACCTGAGAAACTGGAAGAAAAATATGCACAAATTTTCTTGAAAGTTAGTGATTTGTCAAAGGAAATTTGGCAATGCCTTTAACTTTCGAACAAATAGAGAACGAGACTTGAAAGTTTGGAGAGTACTCATAAGGCAATGGAACGAATTTTACCACCCCTTAAATCCTGAGGGGTTCACTCCGGGAAGGGGAAAGAACCCTAGGAGCTCTAAGGGTGATGCGGGTATTTTGGATTACTCTGTACCTAATCGATCATTATATCAACAACAATCTTGGATGGTTTCCTCACCTAGAATCGATTATTTTTAATGGATATATAAATGGAGGAAAATGAGTATTACCAACTTGATATAATCGTTTTTACATCACATAACATGCGAGCGAGTTTAATAAATGATGACCATTACGGGGAAAGGGATACTATCTGAGGGATATTATAAACTCTAATGAAGTTATTAGGGTGATTCGACGGTTGCCACTTTTTGTGTCAAAGCGACGTGCAAAATATATCATATCAATTTGTTCCATAATTTCAGTTACATGTCATTCTTTTAGAAATTTTGAGATCTCACTTTTGTTGTTATGAGTTATTATCTAGTTCTTATCTATCCCTTGGATCGCATGCAATGAAAATTCGGAGAATGAAAATCTGAGGGAGGGACCGAACAAATACCTTCTAAATGGGTTGTGCTCTCTGAGTGGTTTCACGTGTCCGATGGCTCGGAAAGTATCCAAATTTTACACAAAATTGAAATGGGTATACATTCGAAAATAAATCATTAATTTTGTGTGATCATCCACGAAAAATGGGGCCTTGGTCTACCAAAACTAAAAATTAAGCTCTTGTTTCTGGAGCATACATGAGTTTCTTAAGAAAATTTTGGAAGAAAAATGTCAAACCCTAAACCGTATTCATGAAAGTTCAATAATTGCAGCTCAAAAATCCTAATTTATGTAAGAAAACTGGTTTCATTTTTTCAACCTGCCATATGTTCAGACCACAAAAATAAACCAGACGACCCAATTACAGAGACTCAGGCCCGCCACAAGGGGGGAGATACTGGGTCCCTGGTACCGGGGCCCGGGCCCTGGAGGGGCCCGTGACGCAGGTGACAAACCACTACGAATTCATGTGTAACCCTTGTCTCGTAGGGAAAAGTGAAAAAATTACCCTAAAAATTCCGCAAAAGGTAAATAAAGTTTCAAAAACACGCTAGGGCACTATAAAATTTTTCTTACTTTTTTAGAGATTTTCAAGATTTTGAGTATATGTAGAATGATATTTTTAGTAACTGTGTTTCATTTTCTTCCGTTGTCGGATGCTAAGAGGCTCCTTTCTGGGCATCCTCGACTTCAATGGCTTAACTCCCTTGCCATAGACGTACGAAAGGGGAGTCCAGGGGGGGCCCGGCTCCCCATAGAATTGAAAATTATCATCTGGCCCCTCAAAAAAAAATTTATAGATGTTTTGAATGCAACAATTCGAAAGTTTTTGGTGCTGAAAGTAAACAAAAAGGCGTAATTATTCTGCAGAAATTGATGGAAAATTTCCATCATAAGAGCTTCATAATGCGTCCAAATAGATTCAAAATTTCAAAAATTTCCCGGGGGAGGCCCCCCGGTCCCCCCCCCCCTGTGCTAGGGGCCCGGGCCAGAAAATTGGTACCAGGGCCCGAGATGGGATGTGGCGGGCCTGCAGAGACTTTTCCGCCGCAATTTCGAAATACATTTTTGATCCGTTTCAATAAAAAATGCTCAATAGAGAATTTTGCCTCGGAGACAAGCGTTTTTTCCGTGAATCGTCATGTTAATACGGGATTTATTGGAATTAGCCTATCTGCATTTCACGCTGCCTAGATTTCTCCTATGTTTTACTATTTTATCTGGTCATATTTTAGGTATACCTATATGCGTTTGGAAATATATTTTATTGATCGTGCTTCATAGCTCTTTTTCAGTCTCGCCTTTCCCTCTCTTCCTCTTCTGCCCCCTCTGCAAAATTCTTAGAATTATGCCTATTATTTCATGTTCAATACTCAGAATAATTATTCCTGCCCTGTTTTTGCGGGATTCTTTCATGTCAGAGAAGGTTACAACAATATCCCAACCCTAATTTGGATGTAAATGTTTTTTAGCTGTCAGGTTTCACTCCATAGTCTTGACGGAACAAAACAATAAACCATTAATACTGAATAATTCATGATAAAATAATATTCCTGCGGATGGAACTCGGGAAAGTGGACCGAACTCTCTGGTTTTACGAATATTCCGGACGTGTTTGAGGTCGATTTTTGAAGATTATTGAGCGTTAATCCTACGAATATTTAAGCTGATCATCCACGAGAAAAGGCATATTGAAGCATACAGGCAACTAATTCCGGGCGAGCAATATTCGTCGTGTTGTGGCAAGGTAGCGTGGTGACTCTTGAAAGTTGGCAACACTGCCCCCCCCCCCCATTTAAATGGGGAGAGGGGGTTTAAATAGATTTAAATTTATTGAAAATATCGATTTTGATGAGGCCTCACCAATAATCGATTGGTTTAGATACATTAAATTGGAGGAAAAAGAGTGTTGCCACCAAATTGAGTATTTATACCCGTCTCCACGCGGTGATCCTAACGTCCTGTGGCGGGGCGTGAATGATCGATTATCGATATTTCCCTATTTGAAGCTATGGTTAAAGATCGATTATTAAGGTGTTCGTTGCGAACACCCTGTTCATCGATCTTTCTTCGTAGGTTTAAATGGCAGATATATCGATTTATCGCAAAGCACGCCACGCCACTGTTCCATGCCACCAGCACGAGGCATGATCCCTGTGACTTTTGAATAAATTGCAATAGGGACTTGAAAAATTGTAAGTGCTCCAAGGTCAAGGGAATCTTTAGGGAAACTTTAGGGACCCTCTCATTAAAACTTTTAGGGAGTCATTCCAAAAAGGGGCAAGAATCATAGGGAAGAAGTTCCATCCGGTTCTGAAGGTCTTTTTACGAAGAATAGCTTATTTTTATTCCATATATTTTAGGGAACATTTCTTCAAGTCTCTATACAACCTAGGGGTTTTCAAACAAAAATATCCTAGCTTATCATATAATTTAATTTAAAACACTATACTTTCAATTATTTAGACACGATCAGTAGCTTAATCATTAATATGAATCAGATTTCATAAGATTTAAATCTTAAGTAAAGGAAAGTATAACCTCCAACTGTATAAAAATAATAAAGTATTTATTTAAGTTTTGAGCCACAGATGGTGAAATTTGAATCTTGGAGATTTTAACAAAAGCCATTGTAAAAAATTTAGCGAGCTAAGCGGCTTTCAGAGGAGGCAAAATTGTCACTTTAGTGACGTACCCATCTTTTTCTTTATCCCTGCACCAGAAAATTACTTATTGCACCTTGATTTAAAGAATGCACGAAAAGCAAAATTTCGTTTCAAAGGAAAATGCAGACTTGAAAAAAGACTTACTTCGAGCATTCGAGGATGATTCCGTGAGACATGGAAGTAACACCATCATTGATTCTGACCGTTGGTTTCCCCTGGATGTAGAGGACCAGATTTTCCAGAACTGCAAAAGCCAAAAATAAAGGCCAAGCCTAAAACAAAATCAGCGTAAAGAAAAATCTGGTATTTGAGCTTGGACTAAATAAAACTCGCTTAGTCCAGCTGCTTTCTTTCGTCGAAATCAGCATATGAAACAAACAGTGTTCGAAACTCACAGGCGCCAACGCGCCAAATGCGACTAAAAAATCGGCCATGGCGCCTGAAAAATGAAGATTCTACGCCAACGTGGCCCCTAAAAATTGCCCCCTAAAAATTTGGATTTTCATAGGAAGTCACATAAAGGAAGAAAAACAAATCTAATGAATTGAAAAAACTCGGAATTTTTAGTACTACAAGTGAAAGCTTTTTCTATTCTTCACGATTACATTCTTAGTGCTTTTGTCTTCCCCAAGTTACAGCTATTTACTGTTACGAAAACATCTTGCGTCTAACTTTTCACTAAATGCGCCGTAATATATAGGCAAAAAATCAATTTGGCCCCTAAAGATTCTTCAATGGCGCCTAAAATTCGGGCTTGATGCGCCACATGGCTCCTTAAACTCAAAGGTGAGTTTCGAACACTGGAAACAAAATACGAGTTGACTAACAAATAATTCAAAATCAAACCTTTTTGCATAATTTGAATTCGAAGTGAAAGAAATTTTACATCAAGGATTCCAGTTATCAAAATATATTTCAGTAAAAACCGCATATGAGGGTCATGCCAGAGGAAGGGCATATCTTGAGATGCGCTCTTTTTTCAACCTTCAGCTTTTCCGATTTAACATCAAATTGTGAGAGTATCCTCCAGGTTTGAGAAAAATCTGCCGATTCGTAACATGAATAATTGACCCGTAAAAAACAGTAAAGATGCACCCTCTTTCCGGCCAACAAACCTTTCCGCCTAACTAGAACTTTTAAACCATGACAAAATAAAACCAAAAAAAGTAAAACCCCACCGCCCTTTACATTTAAACGATTGAACAAAGAGGACCGGAATTTTAAGCTCAGCCTTATCTGAAAAAAACGGTATTACATTTTACAATAAGGAATTATACTATTTTTGGCTTATCCTTGAAAGTGCCTATCGATATGAGGAACATAATGTGAGAGAGGAAGGAAATAACAGGAAGGAGATGTAGAAGAAGAATCAGCAATAAAGGAAAGAAACGGAAGAGGGGAATTAAGAAAAATATATGAATAGGAAGACAGAGAGAAATAGGAAGCCAAGTAGGATGAAAAAGAGACGAAAAAAGAAAAGAAAAATACGGGAAAAAAGATGATGAGGAGAAAGAATAAAAAAGAGAGAAAGAAGCTGACGGAAGAGGAAGGAAGGAAAAGTGCAGCAGAAAAATCAGAGAGAGAAAAAAGAAAAAGAGGATGGACAAATGCGGAAAGGAAAAAAGATGAAAAAGGGGAAGAAAAGCAAAGAGAGGAAAAGAGGGGAAGAAAAGCAAAGAGAGGAAAAGAGGGGGAGAAAAATAAGAAGAATTAGAAGATAAAGATGAAAATGAAGTAAAAGGAGGAGCGGTATTTGTCTGCGTAGTGACAAAAATAGCATACAACGAGCCTAAAGTATTAGTCCTCAATTGCAAGCAGCGATCTAACTTTCCTTTATGGGGGATACAATTTGTAGAGCCCCCCCTTGGGGAACCCCAGGAGCCCTAAAATTTTGTCTCTTGGATGGCAAACTTTTTTCAAAGAATTGATAGGCAGAAAAAATTGAAAATAATAAATTGATAAGGGAAAAGTAGCCTTGATACCTTTTGCATGTCCTATTCCTCAACGAGGCCTTTCGACTCAACGGAATCGTCTTCAAGCAGGACCTTTATCACATGTAAAAATGGTCTAGTAAACAAATTTTGCTCTGCAGAAAGGCCTCGTGGGAGAACGAAATATGCAACAGGTATCAAGGCTACTTTTCTCACATTGTTTTTTACTTGAGGAGCTTGGAGGACGAGGAGCACAAGTGAATTCCTTCATATTTCGAAAAATGCGTGTTTGAAGTTTCGAAATTACATGGATCCTTAAGGTGGAAAGAAAGTTCAAACTGACTTTTTGATGCTTAAAAATTGGAATTTGGGAATGAATTTTCCACAGAATATGCATTAAGACTAGTTTCAATTGGACGGAGTTAAATAGAAAGGAACCAAGCCACATCGGGATCGAACCGAGAAAAAGACGTTTGAAGTTTGGCTCCTGCATAAGACTCAGTGTAAAAGATAAACTTCAAGTTCAATTTCTGCAAAATTTCCTCAAACAAAAACTTTGAATTTTTGGCGATATATAGTAGAGCAGTGGTTGAGTTCAAAACCACTCATAACTCAATTTTTTCTAATATGTGGGTTGGTTCTTTTCTGCTTAACTGAGTCCATTTGTAATCATTAATACCTCAATTTTTTAAAAAAAAACTGCACTTATGCTTCTTGTCCTCCAAGCCCCCCATTTTTACTTAACGATATCAATATGAAGCTTTTGGATCCTTACCTGTCTGTAATACTGTGGAACCTCCTCGTGGTTCCTGAACGAGGTCTTGGCAGGATCGGCCACGTAGAACATCCACGACAGCCTCTCAGCGACGGAGTCGGCCGCGCGACCCATCTCGTCGCGCACCAGGAGCTCCAGCTCCCCGGTGTCGTTCGAGAACACCATTTTCACACACTAAGAAGACTAGAAATCACCGAAAAAAATCAGTTTCAGGTGCGAGTATCCGGGACTCGCATCGTACGGGAGCTACCTCCGAAGGCGCTCGAGCGAGGACGAGATCATGCGATGAGCGTTGAGTGGTGAGTGTTGAGTGTTGATCGCGTGGGAGTGCGCGGGTGACTAGAGTTGACGGCGGCGAGTCGGGTTCGTATCAAATTTTCGGGACCAAACTGGGTCCGGTCAGTCTGCGGTCGTGGAATCTTGATATTCGAGGCTTGGTCCAAGCAACACCTGAAACAAAAACGAAACGGGCCGGTGAGAAAAGGTGGATGGTTTCGGGTGGGTGGCGCCGGCGATTCCTGGAAGTGGAGAAATGTCGCGCCACACAGTGGGTCGAGTTGGATTGCATTTTGCAAAAAGGAACCACTAGCATTGCAATGATGCTAAGATTGTGCAACTTCATCCTTTGCAATAAAATTGCGGAAATCGTGAAAAACTATAAAATTTAGATGGTAATTTTTGTCTTAAATTCACAGTTGTTAGCGAGTAAAATAGAAACTATTAATGGATAATCGGGTTTTTCCTACAAGACAAAAGAAGTTGCACAATCTTAGCAACATTGCAATGCTAGTGGTTCCTTTTTGCAAAATGCAATCCAGTTAATAGGAGAGGTCGGACAGAATTTGGAAACTTCAGGGGCTTATAACTATCCGTTTAAACAAGACTCTGAAGTTCTGAAAGTGGTTCCATTGGTTTCCGCGTTAAATTTCCTTCAGAAAGCACCCCTTAAAGATTAAAATGTGACGAAATATACAAAAAAAAGTAGACAAAAATTTCATGTCTGACCTCTCCAGTTGACTCGATCCACTGTGCGCCAGGGAGTGAAATTCATGATCCGATCAGGGGCGTTGAACCGAGTATTTTGATGTCGGATTAGCTACACGGAGGGAAATTTCAAAACAAAAGTTTGGTTGATACGGAAAGTAAAACACAAACTTAACCCTAGCCTCCGGTTGACAATTTCAAGAGGAGATGCCGGCTATAGTTTTCTGGAGTTAAAATAAAATATATAGTTAATATAAAAAATATAGTTAATATAGTTATATAGTTAATATAAATATATAGTTTTAATAAAAAACGAGTGGTGAGTACCAACGCCGCAATCGAAGGAATGCATTTCCCCAGTTTCTCCATTGTTTTCGGCGTTAAATTTACCTCAAACTGTACCGAAATTGACGCAAAATTAGTGTTAGTATGTGTTTTACTTCATATATTAAACACAAGTAACACAATAACACAAATATATCAGTGAAGGGTATAACCTCTGAAACTGCAAAAGCACGTATCTCAATTATTGCGGTGAATTAAAATCTACGATTACACAGAAATCGATTTGAGAGAAGATCGACACATCGTCATGTTTTGAAATTTTACCAAGAAATGCAATTTTCGCATCCCTCGTAAACACATATATGTCTATTGGGAAACTAATGGTACATGTTTTTGAACTGGACCGGGAATTGTGGTTTCGAATTGCGAAACGAAGTCCAATGGGTCTATAGTCTTTAGTAAACGACCTCGATTTCCTACACGTCCGTGTATCTCTCTATTCGTAATGTTCTCACTGTAAAACAAATTAGATCTTAATTTTTAAGCTTTTTTATGCTTGGTAATTTTTTGTTTTTTTAAAATAATTTAACTCCTATAAGTAAAGGGAGGGGGGTCACGACTAATTATACAACCCCGGATGTTGAATTTCTGCCTCGAAAGCAGCTGATTTAGAAAAATTCACATATCTTCCGGAGACTTAAACGCGAGGATAAGAAAGTAAGAGACATCGAAAGGCGCCGCGCCACTTCGCACAGACACGTGAAGAAATGAAGGCACCGAGATTCTGAGATAAAAATCCAAAAATGTAAAAGAAAGAAAGGGAAGCGCAGATACGTGAAACCCAAACACTCGATTTATAAAGCCCAAAGACAATGGCAGAGCTAGAATGAGTGCCAGAAGATATTCAATGTGGTGTGAGTGAAGGTATTCTTTCGCTTGACTCTTCCCTCTTAGATTAATATTTCATTCCCCTCAGTTGGGTGTCTATTTGTGCCAACTGGCTCCCCTTAATAAGGTGCTCTTCTGCACTCCTTCTCCCCCCACCCAAAAAAAACTCCTATAGTTCCGCCCATGGTTACTGACAATGTCGCAAAGAACGGAGGATTTGTTTAATACAATTTTTTGCTCCAACATGACCACTGCCGTGATGAAGGAAGAACACCGTAAGAGCCCTCAGGCGTTGCTAAATTTCCTCAGAAAAATCACGAATTTTTGGGAGAAATTGGTATTTATTTTCCTCCAAATTCGTCAGAGAATTTTTTTCCTGAAAATTGCAATGAAAAACACCCATGACTTTTCCCAATAATTGATCTTTTCAAGGAAAAAATTTGGCAACAAGCGAATGTTCATACGGCGTTCTTCCTTAGCACGGCAGACTAACAATAAATCCACTTCCTCAAAACCTCTGTGGGCCGATTATTGAAATTTATAGACAATGCTATAGGTAGACAAAGAAGACATAAGGTGTATAGAGCGATCCTATTGGTTGAAATAGGTAGTTCTTATGGAATAAGGGGTAAATGGTGGACTAACTATCGGGTCTCTCGTGGGTTGTCGTTAGTTAGTTTATTACCCACCTCCTATGTCCATTGCCACCACCCGCTTCCACCAATAGGATCCCTCCATATCCTTTTTGTCTTCTTTGTCTATTGCTTTGTCTATCAATTTCAATAATCAGCCCGCAGCTCTGCACATGCCTGTCTATGCACCAGTCGATGTGCTCCTTTGCTCAGTAGCAGAAATGGACTGATGACTGGTGACAATGGCGAGGCGTGAATATCGATTATCGATATTTCCCCATTTGAAGCTATGGTAAAGAATCGATTATTAAGGTGTCCGTTGCGAACACCCTGTATATCGATCCTTTTCCATAGGTTTAAACGACAGATCAATCGATATATCGCAAAGTACACTGATTGGTGACGTTGCACCAGTGCAACTTCGGAGTGTCCGATCCGCATGAATGCCACCGGCGCCGTATGCCAAGAGGACGTATTTCCGCCAAACGGAACTACGTGCATTAAGACATGAGCCTCGAGACCTATAAGAATGTATGCATAACAGGGCTCACATCATCATACACATAGTTCCGTTTGGCGGAAATACGTGGAAGTGTAATTCGACGACGCGTCACCGTGTCGAAACTGTAAATCAAGTTTCTTGCGCGACACGCAAAAAAGTGCCCGAAAGTTGATCCGCAGGTGGGAGTGACCGAGCTTTCACCACTGCCATGAAAATGGATAGTGTGACTTTATTTCTGCAATCGCATTGTAAAATGCGTATCACACATGGATTCAATCGAACATTACGGATCTATCTCTTTCGATGAACCTCGAGGAGTAAAGTTCGGGGTACTGGGACTACTTGCCCGTGGACTTATCACCCACGGCAAAATGGAGATGTTGCATGTGTGAGGAATTTGCGATTTGACTGTTGATTCTTATGTAAAAGTTCGCGAGAAACACGATGGTGCCACTGGTTTTCTCTAAAATCAACTCCCAAGCTCAAAAAAAGCTCTCAAGTTGATGCCAAAATGGAGGGGATATCCCACGCTACCCTGAGAGTCCACCTCTACATCAAAACAAACTCTCCATGCGAAGATAGGGAGCAAATATATTAGCAGAGTTGCCACTTTATTTAGGGACTCCAAAACTGAACACACGGCAACCCTGCTCATGTATTTGCTCCCTATCTTTGCATGGAGAGTTTGCCTTGATGTAGAGGTGGACTCGCAGGATAGGGTGGAATATTCCCTCCATTTTGGCCTCGACTTGAGAGCTTTTTTGAGCTTGGGAGGTGATTTCAGAGAAAACCAGTGGTGCCATCGTGTTTCTCGCGAACTTTTACATAAGAATCAATGGTCAAATCGCAAATTCTTCACACATGCAATATCTCCATTTTCCTGGATAAATTATGTTTTTGTTGAAGAAAATATGGCAACGTCTGAAGGCTCATACGGCGTTCTTCCTTTGAACGGCAACACAACTCTTGGCCCACCGCATTTATATGCCCCTGCCCTGTTGTGCGAGAATTTTTGCTGAGGAATTTTCACCTACATGTATTTTACACGACACTTTGAAATCGTAGGGGAGGTCAGTTTGATGGCGCGCTGAAATTCTTAGTTATTCAGACGTGTCTGCGAGAGCGGTGCTCAATTTTTCAATTTCTAAAAATCAATATCAATGTATTTTGAGGTGGAGAGAATCAAATAAGAGTTAATGGACATTTCGCTGTGTGGTTATTAAAATCAAACAGATAACAACAAATGTCACTCGTCCCTGGATATCAGGCTAGCAAGATTTTTTATTTAACTATTTCAATTCCTCAACATTTGCATGGAATAATCTGAAATTGGCATGCTCTCCAGACGCAAATTAATCTATTTAGATGTTAATCGAATTTTTTCTTGTATTACTTGGATTGGAATTTTCATTGTTTTTCCTTTTGCTGGGAGCGTACAACGATTTGTCTCGATTGAGGAGTTCAGTTTACGCCTATAGCCTTTCGCGTGACGAAATGGCATTGCAAGTGACAAGTTAGTCCTTTGATTGACAATTATAGGTATAACTGATATTGGATATTGAGGAAACTTATTCTTTGTCGGTTACTTAGCCTTGCGTGGTTGTGGCTATCAATCACTTGCTTTTTCACTGTTAAACTCAGTTTATATTATAACGAAAAACTATAAAATAATTCATGTCTTCTTTTTTTTAATTGGTACAAGTGACTATTTGAAGAAAAGGGACTTCTGTCTACAAAATCTGAAAATCCAGAGGTTGACACCTAAGTTTCGAGGAACCCCCCATCTGAATTCGGGGCCCAAAAAACGTCCAAAATTTACTAAAAATTTCTGAAATTATAGGCTGGAATATTGGCTTTAGGAATTTCAAAACTCCAAAAATTTCCATTTTAATTTTGAAACCCTTGCCGAGAGCAGTATTTGTAAATATTTTGGCATAGATACACCCCAAAATTGTTGCCCCGAGTCAAGGCAGTTTGAAGTTTAATTAGGAGTAAAAACACACATTTTTGGAAAAAAAAAATGTTTTCAACTGTATAGTTTTCATGTTCACGGCATGAAATTCCGTCTAACAGTGAAGCTGAAGGAGCAAGATTGGTACACAACCAACCGAAATACCAATCGTTATTCTTTACGCCACTAGGCAAAGTTTTTCATCATC